AACGATTCGCCAGATTGTTGTCAGATCAACGATGCATCTATGTGGAAAGGTTCGGTTTGATATGTGTGCCAAGCGCATACACAGCAACGGAGCCAAATTACTGATGGTGCAAATTTATACTAAAATGATTGTTTCTAAATAACAAGGTATTTTATTTAGTGTCGAAGTGGAATTAAGAATCTGGACTCTCCAGATGTTTTATTATGCACGGAGGGAGGAATCAAATGCGCATGCGTAAAGCCTATGAGAAAAACTGTTGTTACGATGTCCAGATTTTAGATCATTCCGGATAATGGATGTCCAGATTTTGGACTTTGTACTGTATCAAGTAATATAAGGATACTGAAGCTATTCAGAAGACTGTGATTTTAGGCATCACAGTCTTGAAATAAGTTGAAATGTGTAGCAGAAAACAGCCTGTTCGCAGAACCTTAAAAAGTGCTGGCAATAATATTAGCTATGAAGTCTGTTTTGCAGGACGAAACAGTTAATTGAGGAGTTGAAAATTTCATTTTTAACAACGTCAGTCCTTTAACTTTAATGATGAAGATTTATCTACCTCAGAGTTGTTCATTTTTCATTGTTTATAGTAATAAGATGATGCTATAAAAAAACCCTGATATATTAACGGAATTTTAAAATTTTTATGTTGTGAATTTTATAAATGTAAAAAGCAATAAAGGGAAATTTATTTCTAGGCAACTGATTTATTTTTACCAAAACGTTGATCTCTTATGTTTTTTTTAAACATTTTCCTTTAAAAACTTTTATACTGTTTTTAATGATATATCAACTTTCAAGTTTAACTAAAATGCAACTCTGGAGTATTTTGTGTGTAGTTATTCCATTTTGTTGCAGTTTTATCTTTAAAAACTTTTATACTGATTTTAATGATATATCAACTTTCAAGTTTAACTAAAATGCGACTCTGGAGTATTTTGTGTGTAGTTATTCCATTTTGTTGCAGTTTTATCTGCCATCTTTATTTTTTGTGATGAAATTTAATTAGTGTTATCTAATTGTACAGCTGTTGTATATATTTGTACTCATTCAAACAAATGTCTGAACATGCATTTGTCAGTGTTGTACTTCCATAAAATCCAATGTTTGATGATATATAACTTCATATGATTAAAATTGTGTAACATGAATACAAGCCAATTTCTATATGCTGTGTTGTAATCTAAATCAATGCATGTTTGTCTGTTTGTGACACCATTTCCTCCGGAATGGTGGGAAGTTGAGCTTCAAGAGAGTTAAGCCCGGATTTCAAAATTTCATGGAAAGACATTTTGACCATTTTCGTCTTCATACGACTTTTAATCAGCAAAGATATTAAATAAACACTTTGAAAACACTAATTTTCACACTCGTTTTTTTGAGTGGCAACAGTCTCGCTCACTGGAGATAAAAATCAATGTCATATTCTGATGGTGAAGAAAACACGTGATTGCATGTGACATCACTGAAAATGTTTGGTAATGTCAGCTTTTTAAAAGCTGCTGTTGGCAACTTTTTTGTTTCAGCTTAGCATAATTGACACGATATATTGTTACACATGTTATAATATGTTATTGTTACACATGTTATCATAACATGATATGCTATGTTATATCCAGAGTTCCATTAGGATAATTGACACAATATGTTATTGTCTTGTGTTATAATTGTCATGATAACATGTTAATTCTTTAATTGCTATTAGAAAAAAGTTGTTATATTACATTAAATTTAAATCATGATGTCATACATATTAACCTGATGTATCAAATGTTTGTGTTTTCTGATTTGGCAACAGAAAATTGTTTATGAACTGGTTGTCGTTTGGAAAGAATTAACTGATTTTGTTGATACTGAAATGTTTTTATTCATTTTCTTTTCAGGTGTACATAGAACTTTAAAGTTTTTTTTGGGGGGGGGACGCAGCCCGGTCATCCGTTGGGCTTGTCACTAGTAGTCCGATAAAATTGGATGAGAATCATCACAGATTTGAATATTTGGCAACATGCCTTATCTTGAAAATGGTCTGACATCTTGACTTGCATTACTAAATAAATCCCATACATCCACAATTGTGTAAGAAATATCTCAGAAATTAAATATAAATAGGTAATATCTGAAACAGCATACTGTAAATACTGAGTGAAATCAAATATGTGGTTTATGTAGTATTTAGAAAATAGATGCAAACACTGTGATTAATGCAAATATATACAGTACAAAGTCCGTAATCCGGACTCGTTGGAACTTCGGCGATTCCAGATTATAGATCATCAATTTAAATCTGGTAAGATGGCATGCAGAAATTATACAATTAAAAATATGAAACCGTAATTTATGAAATAAAGAGCAATTATGGTCTAAAGGGTATCAAAATTTACAAAAAAAAAAAAAAAAAAAAAAAAAAAAAAAGCTTAATATTTATTTGTTTACTTTATTAAACATTTCTTTCAATGTAAATTGTTTAAGTTGCTTATTTTTTTTTTTTTTTTTTGTGTTAATACTTTCTCTTTAATTTTATAAACAGACATAATTTCTTGTTCAGTTACAAAGTTCCACTGTTCAAGTTCTGTAATTGCTGTGTTGAGAATACCGACTAACTTGTCAATCGAAATTTTTTCGTTTTCAATAACCTCTCTGTCACTTTCTTCACTATTGGAAGCAGTATTTTCTGGATCTAGAACCATACTACATATTTCGCCATCCATTAATTGATTGACGATTGGGGCATTGTCATCACAATGAAAAACTTCTGTTATATCATCTTCATTTATTACCACTTCTCCACATTTCTTTACAAAATCCATTAACTGGAGAACTTCACCTTTAGTTTGCGATGTCCGAAAACCTTCAGATTTGTGGCTATCATCTTCATCGTCCTCACCATGAAATATGGTAGCTGGCCATAAATTTTGCCAAGTATTTTTTAACGTATCTGAAGACACATCCTCCCATGATCTTGGGATGCTCCACACAGCAGATTTTATGCTAAAAAATTTCAAAAAGTCTTGAATAGTCTTACCATTGTTCAAGAAATTTAACATAGATTTTTAAATGCTACTTTATATTTGCATTTCAGCATGTGCACTATTCCCACATCCATAGGTTGAATGATAGATGTGCAATTTGGAGGGAAGAATAATACAGATACATTATCTTTCACTAAAACTTTAAGTGCTTTTTTTTTTTTTTTTTTTTTTTTTTTTGCAGGTTGTTAGAGAAATTTTATAAAAATTAAGCTTGAACTTTCATTTATGTCAAAAAGAGAATTTGCCGAACAGTTGTCAACAATCAGGACTATTTTTGAGTCATCAGGTAAACCAACCGAATTCAAATGTCGCCAAGCCTTGGGTATAAAATGATTTTCAAACCAATCATTCATCAACGCTTGTGTCATCCGTGCTCTTTTATTTGCGCGATGTATAACAGAGAAAATCATTACTCCTTAATTATTAACAGTATCAGCAGTAACAGAATTAATTTTTAACAGTATCAGCTGAAAATCATTACTCCTTTAAATGTTCGAGGTCGTGCATGTTTTCTGATTACGAAAAGTTTGCACTTATGCGTTCCTGCAGCATTTGCGTACGCTAAAACTGTTAGTCTCGCTTTGGAATCTTTGACACCAGTTGGAGCCTTTTCTGTAAAATTTTCCAAGGTATTTCGCGGTACATATTGCCAGAAAAGACCAATTTCATCAGCATTGTAAATTTGTTCTAGAGATAATTGTTCACTAATAATGAGTTCAATAAATCCATCTGTAAATTGTTCAGCAGCTTCAGTATCAGCTGAAGCTTTTTCACCTGAAATTTTTAATTGTCTTATACCATGGTAATTTTTAAATTTGATTAACCAACCTGTCAAATATGTGCACTCAGTGTTTAAGTTCATTTCTTCATAAAATATTTTGGATTGAGCCATTAGCATTGGACCTGTCAATGGCACACGCTCGCTGTGACGCTGTCTGACACATTCAATCATCACTTTGTCATGATCGTCACTTTTAGCATAACAAACCCTTTTTCTGTTATTCATTGCAAGTAGGGTGTCGGAATCCACAAAAAATTCAAAAAGTTCCTTTTTCTCTTGCTTATGTCATATACAGTTGACTTTCCAGTGTCATACTCCTTGCATAATTTTGAGACGGATTTGCCTTTATCCATTTTTTGCAGCAATTCCACTTTTTGTTTGATGGACATCGAAACATGCTTTCGCTTTATAGATCCTTTGGCAGCTCCAGAATTGGAAACTCTTTTTGACATAATCGAAAGTTCAAGCTTAATTTTTTAAAAATTGCTCTAACAACCTGCAAAAAATAATAAGCCGAATCCAATTAGAAGATTAAGGAACAGTGTAATCTGCAACATTAACTGAAATGCCTTAGAATTAGTAAAGATAATTTTAGCCTAGCTTACCGACCATTATACATTAAATGTGCATGCGTAAACGCGTTACACAAATGCGTGAAGCATACCCAAAAAAAAAAAGTTTGTATCTTTGATGTTCGGATTATAGATCATTTCAGATAATGGGCGTCTAGATTACAGACTTGGTACTGTATTATTTCTTGCAGAAGATTAAACATGTGTGAATTGTACTTGGTTGTAAGGGAGGTGATAAAAATGTTAGTAAAGTATTTGTAATGTAAGATCAATTTTGATGCAAAACTGCTAAATGTGGCCAAATTATCAGTTAATATATAAGAATTTATTTTGTTTATGATTGAGATTTATAGACTAATCATATTTCTGTTTTATTTTAAATGCAAAGAAATTTAAAATATTACATTTAAAGTAATTGCAAATTGTTTTTATGAATATATTAAGATATGACACCATATCTCTGGTTTTCTTTCACATTTGTATTAGCTGTTTCAGTGAAGAGAAATAACAATGAATTTTTTCTTGTAAAACTGAATGTGTGTAAACTTATTTATCTCTATGTTGAAAGCTATATATGATTTTATTAAAATCATTTATATTATCAAATATATTTTTTAGGTACCAAATTTATTGTTGTTGTTGATCCTAAACAAACTGGAGTAGAAAATTTGCTAAAGAAGATTTATGAGTTGTATACTGATTATGCTCTCAAAAATCCATTCTATTCTTTAGAAATGCCTATCAGGTAAGCCACCATCTTCATGATTATCGGTTTATTAAATTTTAATCTAGCTGTATAAAATTACTATGAGATATGAATGACTGTGTTTTTTGTCTTTGATAACCTAATTCATGTATATATAATATCCTGGAAAATGAGATGAGGATGAATTTGAATTCAGTAGACAGTGAAAGCCTGACTACCCAGCATTCAGTTTACCTGAAAGCTCATGTTTCGGCCACCAGAGCTCTCTGCCTGTCTGTGAGATATGC